TACGTAAATGTACTGATGACAAACAATGTTATTCATGAACTTAGAGGGGAACATCAACAGAATTTTAAGGTACTTAACAACATTAAAAGCATTTATTTTGAAAAAATTCACTGTTTCGTAAGGCTCTACAATCCACTTATCACCCTGAAAAATCCTAGTTACAATGCCTAAACAGTAGAGGCGTGCTCCGAATACATCTAACTTTATTATTTGACGAAAAAAACTAGAGAAATTCAACGTATACACTACGTTACCTGACAGTCATTTAGAGATAGACCTCTAAATACAGAAGACGGATTAAAAGTACAGACGTCACGGGCAAAGCACTTAGATCTCATTGAAAAACATCGTCCATACCTTTAATATACGTACTAAATGCTATGCCAGGAGTTTGAAATGACAATCTAGAACGTAGATTTTCACCCTATTTCGCCGGATTTCATCAGTGATGTACCACTCTGACGGTACTTTGTATTTATAAGATCATATTGTTATTCCTCCTGTATTACGTGGATCTGTTCTTTAGAAATTACATAGTGGGTATTTTGATGTTGAGAAAATGCTATATCTCGTAAGGCTCAGATGACGACTACCGTAGATAAATAAGATATATTTTGCACAGCAACACAATTATGAAAAATGTCACAACCTACAAAGTCATCCTTCAGAGTGAACTCCATTGACAGTGTAGTCTGAAGTCTGACAGAGAACCTATGCAGAAACATATATCTAATGGTTTTATTGGGAAATAAAACAGTCCACCACTCCATCGTAATGTGCAGTAGCCTATAAAGGTATACGAAACAGTCATATTCTTCAACCAAAAGCTGAAGTTATTAAAGTAGAAAGAACAATGTAGCCATTTTTATTTACACGCTGAGAGTAGCAGAAGTACTACTTAATTATTATGTAAACTCCACGATTGTTCCCAAAAAAAGTTGACATCGCATATCCGTATGACTACATAAGAACCTTATAAGAAAGATATACTGTATTTATTTATTGCTTTGAAGATTATTAAAACTCAATGTCACCGAAGTTGCTTATCTCTAGTTTCTTTGTTTAAATCATTCATTTCATATAAAAGCCGTTACGTGGGTAAATTTTTGTTGGTGTTTCTTTAGCGTGGTTTTTATGCGAATGGGGAGGGAGCCATTTGTTGCGGTCCACCTTCGATTTCACTTATTCGTATAATACTGTAAAATCATTGTTTTATTATACTAGTGATTCGGGAGTACTCATGTGTAATAATCCCTTAAATGATACACCATGTCTAATCACGTGAAGGTACCTCCAACCTACTTAAAAATAAGATAGTTTTAAAAATAGCTTGACTTCAGCGAATATATATATATAATTATATATGGCGTTTGTTTGTGGTTACTAAAATATACCTGCAACTACATATATCAGAAATCTCATAGGGGTTGATGGAATGTTCACGAGATTCCACTCCCTCATTTTAAGCCAATAAAAACATGAGTCAGATGATCTGTCTGAAATTCTTCCAAAGATCTACCCTAAAATGTTTGCGTAAAACGTTGACTATACAAAGGCGAAGATTATAAGTGAATGAGAAATATACGGACACTATCCAACTGACACGAATATCAGTCCTCATTAATTTGGATGAATTCTGATCTAAAAGTCTTTTGCAGATACATATGACATCTCATGGCCATAAACAGTAGACTGACTTGTCAGTGACTCCCTGCTATGGGAAGCAGTCTTTGTACATGTTTATGTAATCACTAGAATTACTTGATAAGATCAACAGTTTGGATGGTAGTACCTTTTAAAAGGTAGTATTGAAAGCCTTGCGGTGGTGTAAAGCTAGTCATACCTAAACTTTGTATGGGAGCGTTCAGATGTCTTTTTGTTGACAATTTAAAACTGCTCCTGTATACATTCGTAATTCAGAATTGTGGATGTTTGTATTCTTGATGCTCCTGAAACCATGTATGCGGCGTTGAAAGGAAAAAAACAGTATAGTTCTAATTAAAGATAAACTTTACAACGAAATGATACTAGCTGTCGCTTTGGAATTAAAAATTCCATACCAAAACATTTCGTGAATGATACTAAAGAAAAGACATCCCATTCAGCGGGAATTAAATAGACAAATATGAACATTCTTGTGGCTATTACTAATGGAGCGCAAAATTGTCGATCTAGTCATTGTGACGTTAGAATGTTTATTTGTTCCATTACACATTGTTTCTGTGTTGTTTCTCATTCTTGCTCGCATTTTCAAAACCACCTCTTATCGCACGTTTGCAGATTTTAAGGAGTCAGTGAATCGCCTGAATTTCTGTTCGTTTGTCTTTCTAGTCCTCGCGTCGACCAAGCAATATATCGCTGCTGACCTGAAGCACGTTTTCCTCACTGCCAAAAACGTGTCCGAGAATAAATACAAGCCCGTCAACAATTTGAAATTGCACCATGTTTTCTGTATTGGTGTCTTGTGGTACATATGATGGTAGTGTTTTTACGTTAGAATATCTCCATGATACCATTGATATTGCTGGTCCAAAACTGTTAAAACCACTATTCATCGACCCTACAGCACATCCATCGCCGGTCACAACAGTAGCTACCAAAGACGATGTGGTTATTTCTGGAAGTAGCGATGAAATCATTCAGGTTAGTTCACAAGGCTTTAAATTTTTATGTATATGCACTGAACAGAGTTTTAAGACTATCCCACCCTCTGTATTTGTTGGAATGCATCAAAGTAAGGAGCGACCGAATAATTGTGACCTATTATTTCTCTGCATCGTACCTTTGTTTTCCCGGTTACAGAGCTATAGCTTTTACCAGTACCACTATCAGGACACTATAGTGGTATAAGATATGTTGCGATCTAAAGGTCTCTTCTGCGATAATAACTTTCTCATGTTAACTAGACATTGTTCTGGTTGTAATTGCAAACCAATCATAGTAACTATGAGTTGTTTTCTAATTAGTGAATATAAAACATTCCTCACATTAATGCCTACTTAGTTTATTGGCGTCACAGAAATAACCAAGCAAGCATGTTGGTTTCTGGTTATTATAGTGGCAAATTTACAGTTGGGAGGAAAAACAAGTTCCAATGATCGGCAGTAGGCTAGTTCTCATCAAATCACCCAAGTATTTATTATTGTGTAGTGATTTTTTGCAATAGTGACACAGAAATTTCCTCAATCTTGTTTTTTAGGTATTTTCAGTACACACAAAAACTCGTGTAGGTGCACTCGAAATGCATGTTGGGACCATAAGACAGCTTAAATTTATTACAGAATCGCATGACTCGACGTACTGTCATTTCTTCAGTGCTGGTGATGATGGATGTATTGGCATCTGGCGTTGCGAAACCCCAGGAGGTAAACTTACCAAATGCCCACATCCATCGACTTGGGAGTGTATTCGTCAAATTCGTCGCCATAAGGGGTCAGTACAAAGTATAGCAGTGCACCCTTCCAATCGCTGTCTTTTCTCCATCAGTGCAGACAAAACGTTTCGTGTATGGAATCTTCTTCGTGGTCGACAGGCTTATGCTGTTAGACTGAAAAATCTGGCAAACGAGGCAAATAAAATCTCAATGTCACCAACTGGTAACCGTCTTCTTTTTATTTGGCCGAATAAATTCGAAATGATTGATCTTGTCAGCGAATCGCAGACAAGTCCCGATACTATCAAAAATGAAGGTTTCATTCTTGGCAGCGTCCAGTTTTCTAATCCCCCTACTTCAGACCCTACTTTCTTCAGTGAAGATGATGAACTCTGCAATCAAAAGTCTTCAGACCCCCTGTTTGCATATGTAATGGTTGGCATTGACGCATCACTTACTTTGATTAAATTCAACGTTCGAAATAACGCGTCTGAGTCATGGACACCTAAAATTACAAGCAAAGTAGTTTTGCCGGGTAAACGAATCAAATTCATTCAAGTTCTACACTGGCCATCTCATGTGGAAGAGAAAGAACCAATGTGCTCTGGACGTAGTCGGTTGGTAGTAGTTGTTACGACAGAAGCCGATGGTAGCCATGTACGAGGTTATGCTGTAAACCTCAATTCGACAGACATCCTTGAGCCAGGAAGGTCATTCATCCCTTTGTTCACATATGACATCCCAAGCGCTCGAATTACCGCCCTAGCTGCCACCTGGACTTCAACAAGTTATATGCATCATTCGGAGGTATGAAGACAAAATTAATCCCTAGAGAAATCGATTTTGAATGACGTCTACCTGTACATTTATTATGTAAATAAAATCTCGTGATTTTCCGATTTCATCAGTATTAATTACATCCAATTCATTAAACATGTAGCCTGACAACGACGTAGATTGCCGAACGTACTTGCGCAAAAGTCGACCCATCCTAAATACATATATGACAGCGGAAACTGCTGTTTAACAGCATGGGGCTGTAGTGGCTGATAAAATAAACAAGTAAACTACGTGCCTGAGACATTGATATTCTTGAATCTATGCACTATGTTTTGCATATTGTAATGATTCAAACATTCCGAACCCAAACAGATCTGTAGCTAAACCACTCCTTGCCTCTCGGGATTGGGTCACATGCAATCGACTTGCTGACGATTCTCTAAGCTAAGTGCAGTGTTTGCTGCAAAATTGGGGCTTTTTTTATAACCAAGGCCAAATAGATGTATTAGGAGTCTATTCACTATGCCGAGCTTCCTTCAATCATGGACAAATGTCAAGAACTAGATGGAACGTGCACGTGTTTATGTTATTGAGCCATGTTTAAATGAAGTATGTTTTCCCGCTTCAGTTTACAATTGCTTTCAAAAAGCATCAAAGGCGTTTCTAACATATATTTATGTCGAGGATAATAAATAAAGAATCCATTGTTGGCGTTTACAACAAATTAAGTGACCTGTGTTATAGTAAAAGAAATTACTTTGGAAGATTCGCAGCTGTTCTGAATTCATACTGAGTAGACCCAACTTTCCATTTTGGGAACTAATTACCCTAAAAAAGAACTACAAATTCATACACTCAAAGAAATGTAGCTATTATATTTAGCTATGTTGCGTTTCAAAATATCTGAACACGGACCCATGACACGCTCAAATCGTTTGCGGTCAAGTTTCACGCAACGTAGAGTACCTTGGGCAACAACAGTTGCTGCACGTGGTCGATCAAGCAGTAAAGCAATCTCACCTATGTAAAATAAATTGGAGAGTCAAATAATTACGTGCGTAGAAAATTGGTAATATATTTAATTCTAACAGAAATTGCTAACAGTACGACTTTTTACGGTGTTATTGTATGAAATGTAGGTGTATTATTGGGGAATATATACCAACGTGTGTCAAAGGGACAAGTAACTGATAGTTGTGCGTTACGATTTATGAGCTAAAATATTCTCCGATTATTAAAGTATTAGGTTCTAGAAATGTGCCACATTCTAATGTTTACATCACTTGATTTAGTAGCGACTTATGTCACAAAATGGGCGAATTCAGAACTAGTTACAGAACGATTAGATGTAATAGGATCAACGAGTGATGTAAACAAGAGAGCAGAAAGTCTTACTGTCTTCAACTTAACCAGTAATTCTTTGAAGTAACAAGTCCGATATAGTACGATGAAATAAAGTAGTGATGCGAACAAGCAATCTTTAGTGACATGTCGGTCTGCTGGAATTTCTCTTCAATGTGCAAACAGAAGAAAAACTGAAAATGCTACTAAAGAGCAGCTTGACAGTTCGACTGAACACTAGAAGTTGATTTACAGTCCAGTGCAAATATTGTAACCTGTTACACATCTAGGATCAGATTCACTGTATCTATGACTTCCAAATATAGTCTCGAAATGCCCTGGTACGGCCGAGGGTGGGGGGAGTTAGCTCTCCTTCTCGAAATGCTCTCACATGACCACGCGTATACAGCCACTGCTAGGGAAGTCCTACTCATCGCCTCGCGGCTGGGGTGTTGTTTACGAAATTGACAGGACGAAAAGCGAATGTCCGGCGCTTTAACCGGGTTGGTGGACACGGAGGACCCAGCTAGGGGAGTTGGAAAACCCTGATCCCAAACCACTGGTGCACATGGGCTCCAGGATCATGATGGAACAAATGGCGTATGGACCAGTTATTGATCACCTGCTACCATGGGACTGCACCTCCTGGCGTTGCTCCTCTGCCTTGTGGATCACACCTTTAGGCCGAAGGCTCCGGGCGTGACCCCTTGAGAAAATCACCTGCTTTGGTCTGGATACCTGAGTAGTATCACAGCCCACAGACAAATCAAGTGACTTGTGTGGTGCACATGTATTCGATGCCTGTTTGTACCAATATTTATGTGTTTAAATAAATAAATAGAAACCGAAAAATCAACAGTGAGGTGTGCCGAAAACAACATCTAAATGGAGTATTATCTCCAAAAATATAAGCATATCAGGGAAGTGAAGCAATTTCCCGCCAGAATAGAATTGGTTTAGTCAAAAAATGTAGTCCACTCATCAAACCAAGCCCTATATTTTGAGTCAGTTTTTTATTCAGATGAGTGACGTATTTATTGAAACGCATCAGTAAAATACATCAAGGACGAGGTCGTATGTTCATTTTACTAGTAAGGCCTCCTTAAGTTGAACACTACTTTGTCAAAATAAGCTGCTCATGTAGATGAACAACTTATGTTTTTATCTAAATTTTCTTGCTGAACTCTACTATAAACCCTTCAGATGACTTTGGCGGTTCGAACTCACCGAAAGAGATTTTCTGTTTTTTCGATTACATGTGGTTTATCATATTACCTGGAATAACGTGTTCTGAGGTTTATTAGAACGAAAACTTTTTATCTTCATCAGATTACACACCACATGAATGGCTCGATAGTAAGTAATAACTGGTATATTTTACATTCAACGTGATTAAATTATCAATGAGTACCAATACTTAACAAAGATAAAGGTGGACAGTACAATATTGGTCGATCCGAAGAAGTGAGTCAACGATCAACTAATAAGAAGTGCGCAGGAAAATTCCACAGTATGTTAGGTTCTCATGAGTAACATACTTTAGATTGCACGAATCTAAGTCCTTTTTGTCTTGCACCTTAACGTAATGGAAGACGCACTTTCTAAAATACCAGTCCACAAACTTTTGTAAATGTCAATGTTTACTCCACTTCGTCCCAGCATTTTTGAGTGCATTTACAATTTACTCTTCAAGATTCTTGTAATTTACCTGGATTCACGAATGAAAGGATAAAAACTATTGAAACTCGTTTATTTGCTTAAGCGTTGAACGACCTGAAACATGTTGACTTTCATTCAATTAATATAAATTAGGTGTATGATTGCTTTCACATGATAGAATAGACATGGTTATACTCTAAAGACCTAAAGAATTATCACTTTCGTTTAATGAATTCGAACTAGACTGTATTCTAATTTCGTACTTTAAAATACAGATTTATGGTTAAAAAACTAAGTCGATAATGTCCAGAATTCTAGATTGCAATCATAATAAATTATTTGTGGTGAGTGCTAAGTTTCTAGTGTTTAATGAGATGTATAGCTTCACGACGTAACAAAGCGTTAAATTGTGTGCTTTGATACCCTATGTTAAGCTAACAACTTATACAAATTCTTTAGACAAATAAAACACTTACCAAAATAGTCTGATGGTCTTAATTTACCGACTTCAACTTGTTCACCCGATTCAGACGGCCTTTGCAAAACAGCAGCTGTACCCTAAGAAGAAGCAATTAAACAAAAGTAGTAATTATAACACAGCTTCAGTTTGTTTATTATTCTGACATAAACCACAAAAAAGAACCTAAAAATAAGATCAGTCAGCTACAACGTAGGACCGGACACATATATGTATCGGGACAAGTTGCCACACCTCATTAACACAACAAGATGAACACCGGATTCAAAAACGTAGATACTTCAGAGGTGGTAATATATAAAAGAAAGATTGCATATAAGGATATAGTACAGGATGAAAGAATTAGTTCGTAGAAAGAAAGATATGAAGCAATTTTAATCTCTTAGTTTAAGGGAAGACAGAGAGTGTATACACCGACGCCATTGTGATCGATTCTGAGCCATGTCACCAAGAGTCTCCAACCATTGGTTACGAAAGTCACGCGGACCCCAACCAAGTAGTCTGCATCTACCAACATGGCTCAGACTAGAAGTTAGTGACTTCAAGCACTGATGCCACGTTTTTGGTTTGGCCACCCCTAAATTTCTTCCAACCATCCCCATTTGAATCCGTGCTGAGGTTTCGTCAGACACCAACTCATTAGGGATGATCAGACTTCCAAGATAACTGAAGTTGTCGGCTCGTAGTCTATTTTACTCCCTATCCTTAGTTCAGATGGTGATGCACACCAGTCCTGAAGCAACGATTTGCACTTAAAGGGAGAGAAGCGCATGTCAAACATCTTGACATTGTTGCTTAGTGCTACTAGAAGACTGCATTTTATCAGCGTCTTCACCAAACAGAACTATATCATCTGCGTATTCTAAGTCGATAAGTGGACCTCCTGGAAGGAGGTCAATGCCAGAAAATTCAGTCGACAGAAGCGTTAATTATCAGTAGGTCTATGATGAAGTTAAACAGAAATGGAGAAAGTGGACAGCCTTGACGGACACCACTTGAGGTTGCAAAAGTAGATGACAGTTCGCCATAAGCCCTGACTCGACTGGTAGTGTTCGAGTAAAGAGCTTTCACAAAGTTTATGCACTTCTGAGGTACGCCTTTCAATGGCAGACACTGCCACAGAATCTCGCGGTCTACAGAGTCAAATGCTGCTTTTAAGCCAAAAAAGACCACCATTGCCGGACGCCGATAAGCATGCCTGTGTTCTAGAACCTGACGAATGGTGAATATGTGGTTGATGCAGCCACGACCAGATATGAAGCCAGCTTGATTCTCTCGTGTTTGCAGTTCACGAGTCTTAGTTAGGCGTCTGATAATTATCGAGGCTAGTCTTTTAGATACTATATTAGTTAAACTAATCCCTCTATGGTTGTCACAGGATGATTTTAACCCTTTCTGATATATTGGGACGATAAGTGATTGTGACCAGCCAGATGGAATAACGTCTAACTCCCAGATTCCAGCTAAAATATTAGTCAACCTAATCGCTAAAATTGGACCACCATCCTTAAAGACCTCTGGAGTCAATCCATCTGGACCAGCTGCCCTTCCTCGTTTCAGATTAACTATAGCCTTTTGAACTTCAACTAGAGTTGGGGGACCTACTTCAATGTTCCATTCACACTGTCTGGGAATGGAGGGTAGTTGTACAGTAGCTGAAGGCCAGCTGAACTGTTCTCTGAAATGTTCCGCCCATCGTTCTATACGTCTGGACTGAGAGCAGATGGGGGGGGGGTCGTCTTTTTCCGAAATAGTCTGACTTACACTTGACTTATTAATTCCAGTTTCTTTTATTAGCCTGTAGAGCTGTCTTGTGTTCCCTATAGCCACCGCCTTTTCCATCTCTTTTGGTTCTGTTGCCCACCACTGCTCATGGTCGTTCCTTAGACTTTTGCCTAACCTAGATCTGATTTGTTTTCGCTCTTCATCGTGTTCAGAGCGTGATGGGACGAGTTTACGAGAATCCATTAGTACAATAGACCTTGAGGAAATCCATTGGTTCTTTGTAACCCTGTTGTTTAAATCACTGATAGATGTCACTGCTGTTTCCACAGCTGTTTGTATAGCTTTCCAAGCAACATCTGGGTCAGTCTCGTTTTCAGAACTACCTCAGTTGTTCCTGGAACCTACTTTTGGTTTTCTCGCTACTCAATTCAGTTCTAATTGGTCTTTTTAATGTGGCTTTTTTGCGTCCAGTGAGGCGCAAGCAGATGCCTGCCCGTATTAGGGCGTGGTCGGAGTCCAAGCAGGTACACCAGAATGAGCGACAATCTTCTACCGACCCTCTCCAACGATGACTGATGGCAATATGGTCTATTTGAGTTCATCGTTGGTTTAGTGTAGGGGGTCGCCATGTTAGACGATGTCTCTCCTTATGCTTAAAATGGGTTTGCTAAAAATAAACGATTGTCTGAGCACAGTTGCAGCAGACGATCACCATTATCTGTTCGTTGTGCTGGAATACTAAAATACCCACCTAAATGCCTTTCTATTTGGTTTAAACCACCTATCTGGGCATTAAAGTCACCTGCTACGAGTACTATGTCTGAATGTTTAGCTTTCTGAAGAAGTTCAGATAGCTTTCTGTAAAACTCATCTTTCACTTCATCTGAGCTGCAGTTGGTGGGAGTTTATGCAAGTTGCTTCAAAGCAAAAAGTGAATATAAATGGTCCAGAAATATTACCAACCACTTAGTGACTGATTCCGATGATGACAAGTAACATTACCACATAACTATGGATAGTCCTGTTTCAGAATTGTAACAAGACGGAAAGTGTCTTTGACCAAGCGAAAATACGGTCCCTGGTCAGATTAAGATGGTTGATTAATACTACCAGATCTTTAGACCAGTACAGTCAAGCTTCTGCCACTGTTAGATTCGAGAACAGTTGGGTTTCTATGCAAAAATGCTGAACCACATCACAATATAAGACAGAAAATAAATTGCACACAAACAAGCTAAAAAAGGATGTGAATAGAATGAGCTGGGGAAAACTGACTGGTAATAATTTAGAAACAATAGGCCTCGTAATAATAGTTTCCAGGCCAAAAGGAATATAAAATAAAGTAATTCGGTCACTCAGTAATCATACAATAATGATACATATAATATTAATCCATAAAGCGACTCCACCTGTAAGTCTTCTAGAGCTACCGCTGGTCTCAAACCCGGGTAAAGCAGGAGGATTGCGCATGTGGTCGGCAACCCCATTCTGTAGAAGACAACCTTGCTAAAAAACGCCAACCAGAACAAACAAATTAAAACATTTAAGCTCTGCCCTCCGAGTTGAAGTAAGAACTATGACGTCTCACGATGAAAACCAAGATACTACGAGAGTCACAAGACCGATGTCCCTTCTAATAACCAGAGCAACAGTTTTTATAGGTACATGGAACGCCTGCACAATGTGGGAGACCGAAAGGACTAGTCAAATAACAACGGAAATGAGGAGATACAACTTGGCAGTACTCGGAATCAGTGAAACTCATTGGACCTAAGCTGGACAGAAAAGGTTAGATACGGGAGAGATGTAGCTGCACCGAATATGAAGGTATCATGGGATGACATGGATTGGGAGAGAAACGAAGATGGGGAAAGATTTGCAAGCCTATGTGCACTCAACAAATTGGATATAGGTGGCACAAAGTTCCCACACAAACGCATACACACAGCTACATGAGTCTCACAGGAGAATCAGATAGATCATATTTGTATCATTGAAAAATTCAGAAGGACAATGGAAGACGTGAGAACCAGGAGAGAAGCTGACAGACTGGAGTGCGCATTTCATTTGAACACATATATATTGGTACAGGAGTGCGCCAAATATATATGCGCCACACAATTTCAGTTCATTAATTGCGTGTGGGCTGCGATACTGCCCGGGTGCCCAAACCGAAGCAGGTGACAGACTGGAAAGAAGGACGACTCATCAAAATACCAAAGAAAGGGGATCTGAGCAAATTTGAGAACTACAGAGACATCACACCATTGTCAGTACCAGGAAAGGTTTTAATAGAGTGTTGCTCAACCGGATGGAAGACGGAGTAGATGCCCAACTTCGAGCTCAACAGGCTGGATTCCGTAAGGACCGGTTGTGCACAGACCAAATCACCACACTACGGATCATCGTTGAACAATCAATCGAATAAGGCTCGTCACTATACATCAAATTCCTTGAATATGAAAAAGCATTGGACAGTGTGGATAGAACATTATGGAAACTTCTTGGACACTATGGAGTGCCTAAGAAGATCGTCCGGAGAACATCACCTGGAACTCGTAAGACGAACTACAGTGCAAAGTCGTGCATAGAGGACAACTAACAGACGCTTTCCAGGTGAGAACCGAAGTCAAATAAGTATGCTTACTATCTCTCTTTCTCATTCTTCCGGTAATCGACTGGATTATGAAGACCTAGAAACCTCAGAGGAAACACGGAATACAACGGACACCTCGCAATCAATCAGAACATATAAACTTCGCAGATGACCTGGCCCTTCCATCCCATACACACGAACACATGCATGTCAAGACAACCAGCGTGTCAGAAACCTCTGCATCAATAGGCCTGAACATATACAAGGGAAAATCCAAGATTCCCAAATACAACACAGGACACCAACCCAACCACACTTGATGAAGAAGCTCTGGAAAATGTTAAATCTTTCACGCATCTGGCCAGCAGCACCGTCGACGAACGTGGAGGATCCGATGCAGACGTAAAGGTGAGGATTGGCAAAGTATTCCTACAACTGAAGAACATATGGAACTCAACACAACTGTCAACCAATATCAGTCACAATCTTCAATACGAACGTCAAGATAAATCTACTGTACGGAGCTGAAACTCGGAGAACTACTACAACCATCATCAAAAAAGTACAAGTATTTATAAGCAGAAGGCGGAAGAACACACTGTGTCGGGAGTCAGAAGCAGACATGAAAAGGATGAATAGCAACTGGAAAGGATTTTCCAGCACAGGGTTGGATGGAGTGCTGGTGGGTGGCCTATGCTCCTCCACGAGTGATAAGTAATTCATAAAACAGTTACAGTAGTTTCCAGTCTTAGTTCCGATGCAGCACATATTATATGACCAAGACGCTTGGAAGGAAATATGATAAAGCAAAGATATAATTTGCGAGCGAAGAAGCAAAACTAGCTACTGAGGCTTAAGAACAGCAGAACGAGCAGGTATTACACTTCGAGGGGCTCTTGATTAGACCAGGACCGCTAAGCTCACTGGATATTGAGGTGACACACACAGACCTACCTGTAGATGATAACCCACTAACAGTAGAAAAATCGAGAAAATTCATCAGACGAGCCGGGAATGGTAAAGTAGAAGGATCAGACAGCACACCAACCGAGGTGCAACGTCAAGTATGGAATAAACTGTGAATGTATTTTTTGTTCTTCCCAGAAAGATTTGAGGTGAACAACGCATAACAGACTGGAAAGTAGGACGCTTCTTTTACATACCAAAGAAAGGTCTTAATATTTATCAGAACACACTATCTGTACCAGCTACGGATTTCAAAGGTGTTACTAAACCGAATGAACAATCAACAGACACCTAAATTACAGATCAACAACCTGTCATTCCTAAAGATGGGTCATATACGGATCAAATCGTGACACGTCGGATCATTGATGAAGAGTTTATTGAATGGAACTCATTGCTAAAAACTTACTCCCTCTACATTCACAAGGGAAAAAGCAAAATTCTGAAGCACAACACACAGAGCACCGACCAAATCATACTTGATGGAGAAACTTTGGAAGAGGTGGAAATTTCCACATAACTGAGCAACATCATCGATAAACCAGGAGTATCTGATGCAGATGTAAAAGCACGATTTGACACCACAAGGGCAATATTCCTACAACTGAAGAATATCGGGAACTCAAAATAACTACTACACAATACCGAAAGAAGAGTCTTTAACATTAACGTTAGAACAAATAAATAGTATAAAGCTGGAAATTAGAGAACTGCCACCACCATCACCAAAAGAGTAAAAGTACTCAAACAACGGTCGATGTGAAGTACACCAAACCCAACAGCCAGACACCATAAGTGATAACCTACAGTGGAAGAGAACTAACAAGCTCACAGTTGACAAGAATAGAAAAGACACTGAACGTGTATGGAACACACTTTCATTAAACTATCAAACTGTATCGAAAAGGAAACACCAACATGGAATCCCCAAGACAAAAGAAGAGGAACATCTAAAGACAGCGCCTGGAGTCGGACGCAGAAATCATGATTACCAATAGCACTTGGTAACAACTGAAAAGGAAAACCCAGTACAAAGTTAATTGGAGATCTCTGGTTGACAGCCTATGGTTTAAGAAGGGACAACAAACTTCAGTTAGTACATCTGTACGGTTTGTGATATTATGAACACACTTTATGAGATTTCACAAAGCACATCACTCAGTTTAGAATGATGCCAGTAGGTTTGCAGATTCTAAATATCTAATATTATGTTAATAACAAATGGCAAAACATATTAGCCACAACAAGAAACAAGTATCTTATCTTAAGAAGTAAAGAACTGTACCTCTGTAATAATAAAGAAGTCATCACCATGTTCACCTTGACGTACAACAACTTCACCATCTTCGAAACGGACTGGTTCGAGAGCATCTGCTACAGTTAATCGTTCCCATTTGTCAAGATTATCTATAATGAAATTCAAAGATACCATATATATATATATATATATATATATATATATATATATATATATATATATATATATATATATATATATATATATATATATATATATATATGTACAACGTAGAGATAAACATTCATAAGGAGATAAATACTGGAGGTTATCTTGGTACAGCACGTTTGTTGAAAGTTCTGCCGTTCTCAAACGCCGTCAAGTCGCTGGTTGGTCGAAATCATGAGTGTTTCCGTTGAATTCGATCCTGACACAGCTTTCCTGAAACCACGTGTATCATTCAAATTGATGTCCAACGTTCACACACTAATGCAGATCGAACAATAGATAGGTTTGTTGTGCCTTTGAGAAGCCTTAAATCGACGTCTGTTGTTCGTTCAAAGCTTCATCGACGTACTGCGGATACACACTGCATCTGTTGATCATAAAGTACTGTGGCAGTGTCTATCATGGAAAGGCGTATCAAAAAAGTAATTTGTCCTTACACAGGCTCTCTGTTCGAACACTACACGTCGAGTCACAGCATATGGAGAATCGCTATCGGCATTAGTTACGTTAAGTGACATCCGTCATCGTTGTGTAACTTCCACACTTTTAAACTTGTCATAGACGTTCTTTTATAGGTAACAATTTTCAGTCTCATCAGTCCTGATGGTCAGCTGCCTAACGAACTCTACGCACGGATTCAGAAAGATCGACTGGCTTTTGCCAACTCGCGTCACTTGTGGCGTAGGCGAGATATCCGTCTGTTAAACAGACGATGAGTTTACTGCATATCAGTCCTCTTCCTTCTATTTAATGGGTGAAATATAGCCATTAGGACTAGAAGGTATTCGTTGGTTAGATGTCTTTGGAGCATCGTTTTTATATGTTGGGACCACCGAATACAAATTGTCAGAGTTAGTAATAGAGTGCCAGGCAAAGATGGTAAATAGATTGATAAGGTAGTAAATCTTCCCCAACTGAGGTGGTTGGGACATTTTACGCGTACTCAACCACCGCCTACCTCGACGAGCGATGTTGTGCGGTATGGTAGTAAGTTGGAAGAAAACTAGGGGTGGCCAAACCAAAACATGGCATCACTCCATGAAGTCATTGACAATTGCTCTGAACTATGTTAACAGGTGTAGACTACTTGATTTGGGTTCGCGTGATTGTCGTAAACAGTGGTAAGAAAATTGGATGATATGGCTCAAATCGTTCACAATAGCGCAGGTGCATCGACTCTTTACCATTCTTCCTATCACGAGCTTCTGAATTCGTCATAACTTTTTTGTTTCACCAATTTATATCTTGAATCATATCTTTGATGCCTAATCTTTCCTATCACCACTGATACTGTTACTAACTCTCCTACTCTGTGATTTGACATAATAATTTTAACTTGCTGTGATAGTGAGGTAAGGCAATTTGAAACAATGTACATACGTGCCAGGTTCTACGTTGCGTTTGACTGACTGGCCATCTGTCGATCCGAACAGCTTGTTTCATGTGCATTTATTCGGCAACCTTGTGGCATCTTTGTTCGGTTTATCTGGCTTTGGTGTCACCATATATGCCGTGTTAGAACCAGCACCCATCGACTGGATCGCCATTAACACCGGGTTATATACTGTTAGATTAGAAAGCTTCATCAAAGTAATAAGAAATCGGTGTGGAAAACTATATCTTTTAGTCATCTCCGCCTACACCCCGACATATTGCAGTCCCAATGCTATCAAGGATGAGTTTTACCACAAGTTAAATGGTCTCAAGTAGTACTAGCCTGAGATTTGAATGCAGAAGCCAGGCGTCTAGACACAGAGGAGAGTTGTTTGGGTGGCCAATGAGGACTTGGTCTCAGGTCAGATAACGCCGACTGTCTCCTACAGTTTTGTACAGACCACAACCTGTTTCTGGTCAGGATCAGCTTTCAGTACAGTCATCCCCATTGTGCTACCTGGTACCATCCCTCTGCAACCCAAGTCTAGACTCAGACCGATCACATCACGACCAGCCGCCGTTAGAGTGGTTGCCTTATACCTATGTTTCTACGATCTAATTCTTTCTTCCTGTATTATATCCTTATACCCAGTCTTCCTTTTATATATTACTACCATTGAAGTAATGACTTCTATGAATTCGGTGTTCATCTTGTTGTGCTAATGAGGTGTGGCAATTTAGACCGATGCATATATATGCCTGGTCCTATATTGTAGTTGACTGACTGGAGTGGTTGTGTACAAGGCTGGCGCCCCTTTTTGAGTACTTATCTGAACTTTGGACGTTTCAGTGGTCGGTAAATTCATTGTCCTAGAAGAGATAATGTAAGCAAACCTACTGTAACTCCAATCGTAAAACATATCAAACCTAACTGGATTCAAGTCTAGCTGTCAACCCACCGAAAAGTGTAGATGAGCACTGGCTGCATTTACATGATACTATGAAAATGGCGAGTAAAGTCTCTTGTGGCTACGCAAAACTTCCCATACATAGGCACTAGGTTTCTACAGGTTCCCTACAATTTCTCGAGGCACGTCAATCTACTTTGGTCAACCGCAAGTTTGACGATAAACGTCGATTCTTGCGTAGTGAAATTGTGCTCTGGTGGGCCCACTTTGTCCAATTTAAGTTAAAGACTTTATAAATTGGAAAAAACTACCCGCTCAACTTATCTTTTACTTTGCAACTTTTTATTCGATTGACTTTCTAAAATCTGGTTTTACATTTATTTAGTGATATATTTGATGCCATGTTCCCTGTACATCGTAATTCAGGCGATGTGATTATTCAGCAAGGAGATGAAGGTGATAATTTCTACATAATCGACCAGGGTGAGGTTGATGTAAGTTGAATATATTAACTTATGAAGTTATATTTTTTATTCACCTATACGGTTTCTCAGTAAACGTATATCATTATTTGTTAAGAGTTGCACGTTCATCACACTTTGTTAATAAGGAGTAGTGATAACCAAATGCGAGTAATCCATGTATGGAAAATATTTTACCGCAATATTGTAGTCACTATCGACTTTCTTAGACTCAAGTAGTCAGTGATTTGCCTTGTATAGTTATGTGAAATCTAATATATCATAGACGTGACAAATTTAGTAATTGAGCAGATCAAAACTTAAATATAGTTAACTAATTTCTGTAGAATCAGGAGGTAATATCAAACTGATGGTATGTTAACCCATTTGGGCCTGATATCAAGGGATTTGGAGTGTCTTAGTTAACTGATACATGAGGGTCGGATAACTTACATGATCCTATCATTTTAGGATTATATATATTAGAAAGTTTGTAATAAAAAACACGAAAGTTTCGTACATATTAGTTCATCGTGAGAATGGAGCACTTTGAATATTGTATATCATTCCTTATTTTCGACCACACTTATCTTAGAATTTGAATTGTAGTAACATATACAGTCAACTTGTATTCACCAGAATGATTTGTTGACAGTCCTTACAAGTAGGCTTTTTGTATGATTGTATGGATCCACTTCTGTAAGGGTAATTTTGAATAAATTCCATGAGAATAAAGAGTTTTGCGCAATAATCCAACGAAGATTGACAGCCCCATCAGTCCTGGTGGTTTGTTGCCTGGAAACATATTGACACATTCAGAAAAGACCTCTTGGCCTTTACTAACTTCAGTCGCTTATATAGTTACTATTAAGAACAGGTTTATACTGATCATCCTAAAGTTTTTCTGATTTTCGACAACCTACATTTTATAAGTGATATAGACAATGTGCTTTCCGAACACAAGATTTTGAGCGTATTATTATGGTGAATATTTTTTGGACTCAGAATTACCCATCTCAATATTTCGCAATATTAAAAAAGAATGTTTCATATAAGGATGATTGTGGATATGTTTCACATGCTAAATCAAAGTAATGAATAATAAAAATCTCAGGAAAGTAATGAAAGACATACCTAAAATAGGTACACGACATAGGAATTCCTGATACACTTTTCGACGACGAATAGTACTCCCCATCAATATTCTTCTGTAAGAATCTCGATCAATACCCCATAATTTAACTTCCGTTTTCGCTCTAACCGTAGCTGCTCTAGGCGTACCGTAGATGAGAGCTAGTTCACCGAAACTACCTCCTTCCCCGATTGTACTACTATACTCATTATTGAGGAAGATCTATTTAAGAGAAATGATTACAAAATAAATTTGAGAAATACAAATAATACCAGAGAAAAGTAATCATAATATTCTCGTGAATCTAAAAGCGAACGTGGAACCAAATATTAGAACACAACTTTGGATTGAAATACATTAAATCAACGCTATTCTTTATAAGTAAAGTGTCCTTTATGATCTGACTTGAATACGATAGAAGACATAGAAGTATACACTACTAACGAGTGAAGTTTTATAAACAGTTGATGTAATTGCATTAAAATCTAATGGATCGTGAAAAAAATAAAGGGGTGTAAAACCAGCCAAATTACTAAACTATAAACACACTGTAACAGTAAGGGGAAATAAACAGGGACGAAAACTATGCTGAAGTCAACAAGAAGAATTAGTAAAGAGCACACAGAAGCTGACATTTGATCTTTTACTCATAGATGGATCACAAACTTATCACTGTCCGCAAATGCCCTGGTACGGCCGAGGGTGGGGGGAGTTAGCTCTCCTTCTCGAAATGCTCTCACATGACCACGCGTATACAGCCACTGCTAGGGAAGTCCTACTCATCGCCTCGCGGCTGGGGTGTTGTTTACGAAATTGACAGGACGAAAAGCGAATGTCCGGCGCTTTAACCGGGTTGGTGGACACGGAGGACCCAGCTAGGGGAGTTGGAAAACCCTGATCCCAAACCACTGGTGCACATGGGCTCCAGGATCATGATGGAACAAATGGCGTATAGACCAATTATTGATCACCTGCTACCATGGGACTGCACCTCCTGGCGTTGCTCCTCTGCCTTGTGGATCACACCTTTAGGCCGAAGGCTCCGGGCGTGACCCCTTGAGAAAATCACCTGCTTTGGTCTGGATACCTGAGTAGTATCACAGCCCACAGACAAATCAAGTGACTTGTGTGGTGCACATGTATTCGATGCCTGTTTGTACCAATATTTATGTGTTCAAATGTTCTATGGTGGTCTAGATTCAATTGACTCATGACATCAACCACTAAAATTAATATAATATTATTAGCGATCTATCCAATGATCAATTTATTTGAAGTTATCAAGTCAAACCTCAGTAATGGTACTTACAAACTTATGTTACTTGAAAGTGAAACGCTATGCCTACACTACGGCACACGACAGCCTCTTTACATACCATCAACTATATGTCAAGCTGAAATTGACTATGCCCTTCTAGGCATTTTAATTTTTTGTAAAATAAGTCTTTCATTCCTTTAAAATAAGAATTTACTATTTTTACAGCTATTTTTATTTGAGAAGTTATAAAAGTGTTATCCCTTTGAATGATTTATTCCACAACTTTAGATCCTTTTTTATAGTTCAACAAATGATTCAGTGTCTTTTGTTATATAACTTAATTAAATTCATATGTGGGAAGAACTACATAGTTACTTAGGTTACGTTAAACCATATTGATAAGTATCTTAATCTTTATAATGAATCGTTCTGAGTAATCGAAGTGAACAACATATTAGTTGAGGACTTGTTTCTTCATCATTATAGTTACACAGTTTATTATTACTATTCAAGTTTAGCGAGTAAACATCAGTAGTTTAAATGAAGTGATTTGTGTCTAGGTGTGTCAAATACTTTAAAATTAAAGTTGCATGTGAGTGTTAATGTCAAGTTATTAATTCTAACAGAAGCAATTTTATAATTTTCAATTCATAATTCAAAACGGTGAAATAACTCGGTCATGTCTGAAGTCCTGTTTAAATATTACTAACACGGCATCAATATTTTGGAAATATAACGCCATAACATATGGTGAAATAGGGAACTACAGCCGGTTAATCATTAGCAAAATAGAACCTGGGAAATAAGTGTACCACTTCAGGTTGTCATACTATATCAACATGGCAAGATGAAATTAGCAAGACAAATATCGGAGTAATGGAAGTAGTAACGACATCGGTAATAGTAGGAAAGACTAAAGATCAACAATATGATTCAAGAATAAGGGATAGATTTGCGGAATGGAAAATACAAGATAAGATCAAAACTCAAAATCCAAGGAACGATAAATAGTGTATCTATCTGAACTATTCCAACAGATTCTGAGCCATGTCACCCAATCTCCATTGATTGATTACAATAGTTGGGAAAATATCAATCAGGTAATCTGAAGCAATCAACATGTGTCAATACAATATATAATGACTTCATCAACCGGTCGCCCGTCTTACTTTGTTCGCTCCTAGTTTTCTCATACACCACCAATCAGTGCATCCAGATGGGTGAAGGCTGAATATATATGATAAATGCGCCAAATGCATCAGTCGACGGAGATTTACTACTTCATCAACCGACTAGTGGTCTTTACATAATACCCTGTGTCTAATCTCAGCATCGCCCTCTTGAAGGTCCGAACACTGATGAGAAACGTTCCAAAGGCATCTACGACAAAACAGTGATAATCTACAAATACCGAATAATGTTAAAGACCATGTTTCACAGTCATCAACGAAAATAAAAGGAACTACCAAAATGTATTCTTGTGTTGTAGCTGGTAGACAAACATACCTAACCCATAGGTAATTAAAGTTAGTACAAACCAAGAGGTCTTTTCTGAATGTGTCAATATGTTTCCAGGCAACAAACCACCAGGACTGATGGGGCTGTCAATCTTCGTTGGATTATTGCGCAAAACTCTTTATTCTCATGGAATTTATTCAAAATTACCCTTACAGAAGTGGATCCATACAATCATACAAAAAGCCTACTTGTAAGGACTGTCAACAAATCATTCTGGTGAATACAAGTTGACTGTATATGTTACTACAATTCAAATTCTAAGATAAGTGTGGTCGAAAATAAGGAATGATATACAATATTCAAAGTGCTCCATTCTCACGATGAACTAATATGTACGAAACTTTCGTGTTTTTTATTACAAACTTTCTAATATATATAATCCTAAAATGATAGGATCATGTAAGTTATCCGACCCTCATGTATCAGTTAACTAAGACACTCCAAATCCCTTGATATCAGGCCCAAATGGGTTAACATACCATCAGTTTGATATTACCTCCTGATTCTACAGAAATTAGTTAACTATATTTAAGTTTTGATCTGCTCAATTACTAAATTTGTCACGTCTATGATATATTAGATTTCACATAACTATACAAGGCAAATCACTGACTACTTGAGTCTAAGAAAGTCGATAGTGACTACAATATTGCGGTAAAATATTTTCCATACATGGATTACTCGCATTTGGTTATCACTACTCCTTATTAACAAAGTGTGATGAACGTGCAACTCTTAACAAATAATGATATACGTTTACTGAGAAACCGTATAGGTGAATAAAAAATATAACTTCATAAGTTAATATATTCAACTTACATCAACCTCACCCTGGTCGATTATGTAGAAATTATCACCTTCATCTCCTTGCTGAATAATCACATCGCCTGAATTACGATGTACAGGGAACATGGCATCAAATATATCACTAAATAAATGTAAAACCAGATTTTAGAAAGTCAATCGAATAAAAAGTTGCAAAGTAAAAGATAAGTTGAGCGGGTAGTTTTTTCCAATTTATAAAGTCTTTAACTTAAATTGGACAAAGTGGGCCCACCAGAGCACAATTTCACTACGCAAGAATCGACGTTTATCGTCAAACTTGCGGTTGACCAAAGTAGATTGACGTGCCTCGAGAAATTGTAGGGAACCTGTAGAAACCTAGTGCCTATGTATGGGAAGTTTTGCGTAGCCACAAGAGACTTTACTCGCCATTTTCATAGTATCATGTAAATGCAGCCAGTGCTCATCTACACTTTTCGGTGGGTTGACAGCTAGACTTGAATCCAGTTAGGTTTGATATGTTTTACGATTGGAGTTACAGTAGGTTTGCTTACATTATCTCTTCTAGGACAATGAATTTACCGACCACTGAAACGTCCAAAGTTCAGATAAGTACTCAAAAAGGGGCGCCAGCCTTGTACACAACCACTCCAGTCAGTCAACTACAATATAGGACCAGGCATATATATGCATCGGTCTAAATTGCCACACCTCATTAGCACAACAAGATGAACACCGAATTCATAGAAGTCATTACTTCAATGGTAGTAATATATAAAAGGAAGACTGGGTATAAGGATATAATACAGGAAGAAAGAATTAGATCGTAGAAACATAGGTATAAGGCAACCACTCTAACGGCGGCTGGTCGTGATGTGATCGGTCTGAGTCTAGACTTGGGTTGCAGAGGGATGGTACCAGGTAGCACAATGGGGATGACTGTACTGAAAGCTGATCCTGACCAGAAACAGGTTGTGGTCTGTACAAAACTGTAGGAGACAGTCGGCGTTATCTGACCTGAGACCAAGTCCTCATTGGCCACCCAAACAACTCTCCTCTGTGTCTAGACGCCTGGCTTCTGCATTCAAATCTCAGGCTAGTACTACTTGAGACCATTTAACTTGTGGTAAAACTCATCCTTGATAGCATTGGGACTGCAATATGTCGGGGTGTAGGCGGAGATGACTAAAAGATATAGTTTTCCACACCGATTTCTTATTACTTTGATGAAGCTTTCTAATCTAACAGTATATAACCCGGTGTTAATGGCGATCCAGTCGATGGGTGCTGGTTCTAACACGGCATATATGGTGACACCAAAGCCAGATAAACCGAACAAAGATGCCACAAGGTTGCCGAATAAATGCACATGAAACAAGCTGTTCGGATCGACAGATGGCCAGTCAGTCAAACGCAACGTAGAACCTGGCACGTATGTACATTGTTTCAAATTGCCTTACCTCACTATCACAGCAAGTTAAAATTATTATGTCAAATCACAGAGTAGGAGAGTTAGTAACAGTATCAGTGGTGATAGGAAAGATTAGGCATCAAAGATATGATTCAAGATATAAATTGGTGAAACAAAAAAGTTATGACGAATTCAGAAGCTCGTGATAGGAAGAATGGTAAAGAGTCGATGCACCTGCGCTATTGTGAACGATTTGAGCCATATCATCCAATTTTCTTACCACTGTTTACGACAATCACGCGAACCCAAATCAAGTAGTCTACACCTGTTAACATAGTTCAGAGCAATTGTCAATGACTTCATGGAGTGATGCCATGTTTTGGTTTGGCCACCCCTAGTTTTCTTCCAACTTACTACCATACCGCACAACATCGCTCGTCGAGGTAGGCGGTGGTTGAGTACGCGTAAAATGTCCCAACCACCTCAGTTGGGGAAGATTTACTACCTTATCAATCTATTTACCATCTTTGCCTGGCACTCTATTACTAACTCTGACAATTTGTATTCGGTGGTCCCAACATATAAAAACGATGCTCCAAAGACATCTAACCAACGAATACCTTCTAGTCCTAATGGCTATATTTCACCCATTAAATAGAAGGAAGAGGACTGATATGCAGTAAACTCATCGTCTGTTTAACAGACGGATATCTCGCCTACGCCACAAGTGACGCGAGTTGGCAAAAGCCAGTCGATCTTTCTGAATCCGTGCGTAGAGTTCGTTAGGCAGCTGACCATCAGGACTGATGAGACTGAAAATTGTTACCTATAAAAGAACGTCTATGACAAGTTTAAAAGTGTGGAAGTTACACAACGATGACGGATGTCACTTAACGTAACTAATGCCGATAGCGATTCTCCATATGCTGTGACTCGACGTGTAGTGTTCGAACAGAGAGCCTGTGTAAGGACAAATTACTTTTTTGATACGCCTTTCCATGATAGACACTGCCACAGTACTTTATGATCAACAGATGCAGTGTGTATCCGCAGTACGTCGATGAAGCTTTGAACGAACAACAGACGTCGATTTAAGGCTTCTCAAAGGCACAACAAACCTATCTATTGTTCGATCTGCATTAGTGTGTGAACGTTGGACATCAATTTGAATGATACACGTGGTTTCAGGAAAGCTGTGTCAGGATCGAATTCAACGGAAACACTCATGATTTCGACCAACCAGCGACTTGACGGCGTTTGAGAACGACAGAACTTTCACCATGGTTGTGTCTTTGATTGAGTCGGAAACTGAAGACATACATAAAACGCGGATAAAGAATAAAATGAAGACACTATAAAATAAATTCAAGGGTATCTATGCAACTTCGAAAACAGGTAGAGTGATTTGGAACCGTAAATCGAATATTTATTAATAGTGATCATCATAAATTTTTGTGTGAAGTGGGATACTCCAAAGGTATAAAGGCTAAGCAGGTGTTTCCTTAGACTACTCAGAGGGATGTGACCTAGAGGTTTAATCCACAAGTAATTGAAAAAAAACATTAGGTTTCGTCCCATGTTAGTCTGTTACCGAAAATAGTTTCATAAGCAATTCCTTCCTACCTGATTCTAGAAACCATGTGCATCACTGGTTTGGAATCGGAGTGAAACTTTCATGTTCACCAGCCCGGTTGAATCGCCGGACATCAGCCCTTCATTTCAATCTTGTAAACAACACTAGAACAGCGCATAAATGGTGAGAGTTTACTTGCACAGGCTATAAACGAATAGACGTATGAGACCAATTCGAGAGGGAGGGAGGGGATTCTCTCCAACCTCGGTTGTACCAGTATATTTAAGGACGTACTTCAGTCAAATTAGCCTGGTAACACCTTTGGTTTTCAGTTTATAATTCATCAATAAAAGAGGACATGAAACAGGATTTTTATTTCATTCCGTAGAAAAATCACACGAAATACAGTAATCGTTTATTGATGAGACGCAGACAAGCACAACAACTCAGCAACTGATACCGTTTAGTACCATTTTATACTAAAAGTCTAATCTAACCTATCTAATTCAAAGTAAATTCGATCGACCGTTATCTCATTTCTTAAGTACCATATATTACAATCACAGGTCATTATGGAATATGAGAATCGGGTTAGAAAAGAACGAAAATAAGTTGTACGGTCACATAGATGCTACCTGAGTTCCTAGCAAATTATTTATAAGAAAGGTGTGTACTACTGTTTTGGTTCGGCGAGAACCCTCCTTTCCCTGTGACGTTTGAGTGGGGAATGTTTGCATAAGTTCATGTTCAAACTATAACCGTTGGAGTAAATTTATCAGGGCTGAAATCATAATCAGGATTATATATATATATATATATATATATATATATATATATATATATATATATATATATTACATCCCTAATTATTTAAAAGATCATGTGATTACGTCATGCATGAATTAAGATATACCTGAATTTTTTACATTTACAGGTCGCATTTGATTATACCTTACTGAAAACACACTCGTCCAAACTGTTCAGCTGCTCAGTCATATTTCTATTTCGAAGCTTTGTTTGTTCCTAACACTAGATGGTTAGTTTTAGTAAACAAAACGAGGAATTGTTAGTTGGGATTATTAGATAAGTTCGTTTAACTAAATATGAACTTGAACTTTACGTCACTCTAAGATTGTGCATTTCACATTTGACTACCGGGTTACTTACCACCAATCGTAACGAAACAAAAACGTAGTGTTCTTGATTAAAAGACAAGGGTCGGCTACATACTACAGTGCTTCCAACATGTACATACTGCTAATAGGAAGGTTCGTAGTTCGCTTAGTGAAAAACTGATTTGAAGATTTTATCGACTGACTGATAGCAATTTGTTTAACATAAACCAAGCTAACAATAAAAATACATACCTCCTTTCCGTCTCATCTAAATGAGAAAATAGGACATTTTTGGCGATAGCCTTTGAAAGAGCTGTCATCGTTTTATAGTCCTTCGGTACAACCTTATTGAAACGAAACAATGATAATACGTCGATAATAAGAATGAATATAAACAGAAAAATCACAATCAAAATAACTTAGTAAAACTGAACTACATAATGACGCTATCATGCTAAATTAATATTCTGACGTCTTGATTATTGAAAAATGGTTTCGAACATTTATTTTCCTAATTTTATTGGTTGATATACTGTCGTTAGCTTTTGTACTATAATTATGACAGGTGTTAATGCATTTGGTCATCAAAGTTCGTTTGCTTTCGTTCTATTATCTTGAATTTCTGCCGGCGTTGAGTCTAGCTTCTTGAATGTTATCCTTTTCCAAACTTTCCAGTTATATGGGTACAAAGGCAATATAGAGATTAGTAAGTTATGTTGGAAAGGCCCAAATGGTTAGAGGGAGGTTTATTGAAGTTGTTGTACAGCCTACATTAATCAGTAAAACTATTCAAAATGAATATAGACGACAGAACATTAAGATTTAAGTAGTTGAGAGTCGTGATGATACACAATGACGTTACTAAGTGACAAAATAAAGCACTAAAATGTGATAAGATACTCCAATTATAAGCTGAAATTAGAGAGATTATGTTAAGATGTGAAGCTTTATAAAGAAATGACATTGAATGAGACTCAGTTACCTTCTTAACGTAAGATGCAGCATCTTCTTCTGTATAAACTTCACCACTAACTGCTCCTCTTCGAGATCGACGTCTAGTTAAACTAACTCCGGAAGGTGATACAGCTAACAAGCCTCTCGTTCCCCCACTATTTCCTCCATCATAACTACTTCCATCCTCGTTCATATTATTGGATTCGTAACTACTATCAACTTTCAAAGGAGTTTCGGTCACACTTTTTTCAAGAGTGTTAGGAATAAGATTATCTGTATCACAGGAGCATCGATGGTTATTCATTTCTGAAGATTGCCCACAATTTTGAGAGCTTACGGAGGGAATAATAACACCAAAGCAACCACTCCCATGACTTTTAACTTCATTTTGGAAAGGGCGACTGGAGGTATTTGATATAGGAAATGTGTGTGAATTTTCATTGCGTTCTGAGTGTTTATGAAAAGCGAACCCAGTTACATGACTAGTTGATGCTGCACTACATTTTCCATTACAAATCTAAAAAATTGAACAAAATATAATAAGACAAGAAGTAAAATCACATTTAAATACCGGTTTATAGGTGATAAAATTTACACAGACTAACCTAAAACCCTGCATAAACACACTAGTTAGATCTAACACATTTTAGTAACTCGGAAGTCAGAGCGAATTTTGCTTTTTTTTAATCCCAGACAATTGAACCAAATAACCCAGGATTTCCACCAAATAATCCGCAACTTCTTTATATTTCCTATACTGAATAACTATTCCATGACTACCTTAGGTAGAATTAATCATCACCTTAAGTTACGAAAAAAGTATTAAAATGACAGTGTGTAGACAGAAATATGTAGGAGATTAATGTGATTTTGAGTACATTCCCCACACACTATATAATACCCAAGCGCGAGAAAGAAGGCTCTCGAACACTATCCTTAGATAATTCAACAAATTTAGATATTTAAAGTTTGTCTCAGATAGATTGTCGTACCGTATTTTATAGATAGTTTGCATTCATTATCAGGTACCTAAACACTGAGTTCTGTTGCTCAATTCTGACATTAATGCGGATATTAAGAGGCTTAATGAAGGCTTCAAGTGTTAATTAAGTGGCTAACAACCACTTGAAACCTTAATTAAGCCTCTTAATATCCGCATTAATGTCAGAATTGAGCAACAGAACTCAGTGTTTAGGTACCTGATAATGAATGCAAACTATCTATAAAATACGGTACGACAATCTATCTGAGACAAACTTTAAACCACTAAATCTGTTGTGCGGAGGCATATATGACCGCTAACTCGATATTAGGACACACCTGCGTGCTCATTGTTTTCACCACATCAACGTAATCATAATTATTGATCTTCGTATGACTACTGGTTGGGAGTGCATTGAGTGTTTCTAATTGGGTAGATTTGTCTGGCTACTTGCTGGTTAGTGCTAATAATCATAGTTCGACTCAAACATATCAAGACAAATTCAACACAGCAGTTGCAAGACAAAAATGAGGATCCACCCTATTTCGTGGCTTCTCTCCTGCTGTTTATTAATGTAGTTATGTTGACTTGTTTAATATCGGGTACAGTAAAAATAACATAACCTCCCACCAAAAACAGGTCTCTGTATCGCACCTTGGGACTAAAAAATTATATCAAAGCTTTCATTCAAATAACTAAACGAGCGGAATTTGATAGTCCGAGTCAGCAATTAATTTTGTTGGGCTAAACTACTACTTTAAGCTTCCAATGATATTAACTAGACATTTCATGTAAAGTTGAAGGTTTATGCAAAGGAATATTATTGACCAAATGTTACTATAGATATTTAGTGTTATAACTTGCCTCCAGCTTCTCAAAATACTCACGGAGAAATGCAATTGGATTACTAGGACGATGTAGGCACAAGTTAACAACGCAGTCCCTGAGAATTTCGTGCACATTATGCTGTTTAACATAATCCTCAACATCGCTCATAAAAGACTCATCCTCCATTATCCCCAACTTCTCGGAAGCATCCGCAACTCTCGTAATGGCCGCCCGTCCGGTGTAAAATCTCGGTATCCAATACCTTGTGACTGTTCTTGTATCAAACGATTGATTTCTTTGCGCTCGCTTCTTGTTGTTTCGGTATACTTCGAAGTCTGCGTTAATTCTTAATGGGTGTTAGTCTAGTCACTCGACTGCACTAATTCCAGTCAATTCGATAGGTATTTGTGGATTTGTTTCACGTAGTCTGAGTGGGTGTATTTGTTTCAAAGCAGTAAGGTTTCTGGAAAGCAGAAGCTGACACGTCACGAGATAAGGGGGTGATTGGTTGAAATTCGGACACCAATAAAGAAAAAATCAGGACATAGTAAAGCTAAGAGCAGACGATTGTCTGACGTAAGCAGACAAAAGGTGATTAGCTAATAATGCGGATGGAGTGAGCTGTCCACAATCAAATAGTAAGGGCGTAAACGTAGATGATAACGAGCGAAATAATAATAAGTTAATGACAAGTGATAATGATAGTAGTCAGTAGGTTATGAGACATACATCACGCACAGCTAGTCTAAGGGGAAGATGGTCATATATGCGTGAGTGCGTGTTAGTAAAGTCTTATCTCGAGGCTATCCACTCTGTGGAGTCAATTTTCTCTTAGGTTGAGAGAGCGTTTTAAACAGGAGGAACTGTAAATGAAATAAGCGAGAGCATATCTGGATGCGGTGTTTGTACGCACCAATGATTCCTTTGTACTTAATGGCCCACTGATTACGAATTCCAAATATAATATGTCCATTCATGCTCATACAGTTCCACTTGCTGTAAAGTACACTATTCTGGGAATTCCTATTTAGTACATTGGTTCGAATACTTCTAATTATCAATCTGGGTCTTTGTTTTCTGATGTCCAATTTTTCGGTGGTTCCTCACGGCAGTGATTTCTGGTAGGGTGTTCTTCTTGAGACGACCTGAGGTACTTAGTATTCTGAGCGTTTTTATCAGGTCATCTCTAGTTCTCCCATAACCCGGATTTATCTAAGGGTTTATGGTCTTTCTTTTCAAGGTTTGTCCCTGAGGTCAATCATCCACTTAGTTCCTTGTCAACGTACGTGCTCTGAGAGATTTATATATATAATACACATTTTATAGGATAAATATTTACAGAACAGCTTTTTACTCAACCGTTCTACCTTATATTACAACTGGGGAAGAGCAAATGCGTCTGAGCTATTACTAAATCCACAGCAAGTTAGTTTGTATGTAATACGAAAACTAGAAGATTTGTATTTATTTACTGGATTTATTAATAGTACATTATCAAAACTTCTAGCCTACAGAACCCCAAGCTCAATAGTGATAAGATACGTCGTTATCAGAAAATGGTATATAGGAAAATTTTATGAAGCACTTTAGTGACTCGGCTGAAAAAGTAGTAATATCGGCTGAATTCGTGATTTGGTTTGCTCAGACTGAATGAATGTTAAGTTTACAGAAATACACAAATCTGATACTAATATCCTCTAACACATAGTACTTATTTGATAGAACAGAATTCTACCACAAAAGAAAATAAGCATAGTGAAAATTACCGAAATCAATATATGTCTCCATAGTAGTAGCTGAACTCATACGACGAACTACAGTGCAAAGTCGTGCGTAGAGGACAACTAACAGACGCTTTCCAGGTGAGAACCGAAGTCAAAAAAGTATGCTCACTATCTCTCTTTCTCATTCTTCCGGTAATCGACTGGATTATGAAGACCTAGAAACCTCAGAGGAAACACGGAATACAACGGACACCTCGCAATCAATCAGAACATATAAACTTCGCAGATGACCTGGCCCTTCCATCCCATACACACGAACACATGCATGTCAAGACAACCAGCGTGTCAGAAACCTCTGCATCAATAGGCCTGAACATATACAAGGGAAAATCCAAGATTCCCAAATACAACACAGGACACCAACCCAACCACACTTGATGAAGAAGCTCTGGAAAATGTTAAATCTTTCACGCATCTGGCCAGCAGCACCGTCGACGAACGTGGAGGATCCGATGCGGACGTAAAGGTGAGGATTGGCAAAGTATTCCTACAACTGAAGAACATATGGAACTCAACACAACTGTCAACCAATATCAGTCACAATCTTCAATACGAACGTCAAGATAGTTGTGCTCTACGGATGTTAGTGTTGGATAGAACATACATTGAGGAAATCACTGGAGTGAGCCACAAGGGAAGCCTTAACTTATAATCCTGAAGGGAAACGAGAAAGAGGAAGGCCAACGAACACATTGAGTCGAGAATCGGGAGCAGATAACAGAAAGGTGAACAGCATATAAAAACAACTGGAAAGGACTTCTCAAGATAATGTTTGATGGTTAGGAGCCTATGCTCTTCCTCAATGCTGACAGGCGTAAGTATGTAGTATTGGAAGGAAAACCTCTGCCTACTTACTTCGATGAAGCTATAGGTGAAAGAACATTTTTTAAAACAACGGTGAATGAGTAGGAATAAAGGCTAGTTGTATATTAGCACATCAATCTGTCATTATTATGATAAACCTTATGCCAAAATTGTAGATTTGTCATGATGTGACTAAACAATCTGTAAGATCTTACATGGGAGTCACATCATTTTCTGTTTTGACTCGTCGTACAGTGACAACGAGCAATACAATACTTATCGCTTTTGAAGAACACATTTGGTCCGGAATTAGAGTAATATATTTGGTGTGAATAGGAGTTAATTACGCAGAACAGCCGCTCCTTCAAGGCCGAGCCATGCCCTGGCAAACAATTGTCCTCGCGCCCACCATCTTTGACCTCCTCTAAGTGCTATATATTAAAAGTAAATCTCGGAAATTGTATGTTCGGCTTCAAAGATCGTGTGGTTAGGAACCAATACCACTACACTACTTTCCAACCGGGATCAACATAATGTTTGATTTAATAGCAAATCGAGTGGGATCGGCGCACACTTGAAAATACAAACGAAGAACAAGAATCCTCCAGGTATTGAGAAACTGAAAGATAAATCAAAAAGAAGGCGGCAGTAATTGATTTGTAAATATATGTTATTTACACGCGAAAAATGAGAATCTACGTCAATATTATTCAAGAGTTAAACAAAGTGAGATTATGATAATTAGGAATGATTTGGTTTAGAGTTATTTTAGCAAGCTACCTAGAGATGCTCAGTAATAGCCGTTGGTTAATTGCTTAACTAGTGGGCAGTACAAGTAGTTTGTGCCTAATAATAGAAAAAGCTCAATATTGTAGAAATGTTGATATTAGTATTACATTTGGTTCATATTAGAAAGTCAGCTGATGTTTATGTTAGCAAGTTGTCTGCATGTGCTATTTCCACCCGCATTTGCATGAGTAAACTAGCTGAAGGAACAGAACTATAAACGTGAAGAGGAAGAGACTCAACTAGTGTTCAAGTTAGTTCGTTTAGCTTGATTTGGTTTATTTTGTTACAAAGAGATTTTCCCGACCTCATTTTTGCTTAATCGTGATAGGGTTGACTAATGCTACATATACGTATGAATTGTTATCACAAACTCATTTAATGTGTGAAAACGCTGATAATTGTGAGAATCTTGGAAAAACAGCTGACGTTAGTTCGTTCAACATAAATTTATCCTTGAAAAACATACTACGTATCTAATGTCCTGATGGGCAGTTAACCAATTTTTTATATTCACACATAGTGATTGTTGGTCTATACAAATCAGTTGCAAGTATAAAATTTGGGATGATATAACGATCGGTTTGTACGAACTTTATTGATTATAAAGTGTTGAAATCAACTAGGCTTATCTGCCACAACTATGGATGACATGGTGTTGTACGATGCTTCCGGCTGAATACGTTTCTTTATGATGATAAACAGTAAGCAGTGTTCATGTGATTATCAATTGGGGCATAAGTTGTAAACAAGGGGATTACCATTCCAAACTTATGTCTATGATAATGGCATGAATCTCTGTTAATGTTGTGGTAAATTCGACAGTGATGTTTTAAGGTTGTGGGAGATTTGCTTAACTGCTGATGCTGATGATCTGCATATTATTGTGTCGCTAAACTTCCAATTAGACTGACAAGGTTCTAAAATATTTACTAAAGGAAGAAGTGATAGGTAAACATACTGAATTCGTAGATAACAGATAAAGGTAGACACGAAAAGATAACAATGTAATAATAACTGTATGCCGACAGATCTTGTGAATATATTCACCAGTTTTATCAGTTATATTACGTGGTTTTCCGGCTATGACGACGCTTGCTGACGATATCCAGAAACTGTTATGAATAATTATTTATAGTTTTGATTAAGGATTAGCTATTTAAAAACAGGTTTTGTTTTTAGCGATTCGGAAGTACCAGAATTTTGTGGCGTTAACGAATTCGAGCTGCATGATTATACTACAAATATCGATCCAGGAATATTCTTTCACTCAGTGTTGCTTTTAATATGAAGCTCCAGAATTTTTTTATTTTGAACGCTCGCTTGACGAATAACTACGTTGTAGTCTGGCTATAATAACATTACAGTACAATAATGTCTTATTACTGTTAATTTATTATCTTAACTATGACTATCCGATGGATAACATTATAAATTAATAAATGACGATGAAACAAACAATACTTTTTGTTAGTAGACTATAAAACAAAAAAACTTGACTCGACCTAGAATAAGCCCTTGACATGATGGACAAATTGGTCTAATCTTTAGGCCAAAAATGTGGGAACCCAAATCGAGGCTAACGGCATTGAGCGTAGAGACGCAAATCCTTCCATCATAAAGAGAGCAAGAACAAAGATTGTTGCAGAATAATATGAATTTTATTTCGTTAGCCTCTCATCAGCTGCCTACAACCTAAAATATTTGAAAATCAACGTAACTACAGGTTTTGAGATACTTCTACAAAAGAGGGTGAATAAAGGTGCATATATGTACATGATGTAACG